CGTGTGACCATTTAAATTAAAATCTAAATTAGTCAAGACTAAATACAATAAAAATTCAGTTCCTCAGTCGCAGTAGCTGATTTCAAACTGGAGCTCAGCGGCCAGGCGTGGTTTGTGGCTGTGACATCACAGCTCAGGTGGAAAACACAGCTGTCTTCACAGGAAGTTCTCTCGGAGCTCTAGTTAAAGGAAGCCACCAAACCCTAAAAGCCACTCTTCCAAACTATCAAGAAGCTTAAAGCGAAGAGAGAAAATGGAGCCCGTCATTGCTGTATCTGTACTCTAGTGCTGAAGGTAAGCCAGTCCAGACAGGTGAGACTGTCTCCCTGTGGTGGTTTATTAGCCAAGAGTGCCCACGCACATTATCTGAAATATTCTATGAAGAAATATGTGAGACTTTTTGGTAAAAAATGTATTTTCCACTTATCACACAAATATTTTGTCTTTCAAAACCCATCAAAGAGATGTGGAAGAAGCCCTCTCATTTAAGTGATGGTTAGTAGCTTGTTGAACTGAAAAGCTAGGGGAAAAAAACACCTAAAACACAGGGGTGCTGGGTGACTCAGTCGATTAAGCCTCCGACTTTGGTTCAGGTCACGATCTTGAGGTTTGGGAGTTTGAGCCCCACTTCGGGCTCTGTGCTGACAGCTCAGAGCCTGGAGCCTGCTTCAGATTCTGTGTCTCCCTCTCCCTCTGCCCCTTCCCTGCTAGCGCTCTGTCTCTCTCTGTCCCTCAAAGATAAATAAGCTTTGGGGCGCCTGGGTGGCGCAGTCGGTTAAGCGTCCGACTTCAGCCAAGTCACAATCTCGTGGTCCGGGAGTTCGAGCCCCGCGTCAGGCTCTGGGCTGATGGCTCAGAGCCTGGAGCCTGTTTCCGATTCTGTGTCTCCCTCTCTCTCTGCCCCTCCCCCGTTCATGCTCTGTCTCTCTCTGTCCCAAAAATAAATAAACGTTAAAAAAAAAAAAGATAAATAAGCTTTAATAAAGAAAAAATAAAACACAAAAGTGTATGTCTATTACTTACACTTGGAACATATAGCCAAAGCCTTTCCTTTGAGCATGGGCCTGCCTACTGGGCTTTGCAGAGTCTCTCCTGAGTACACATACCCTGAAGTCTGTCTTTGAAAGTCTGGACATGGGCTGACAGACTCCTTCCAGACTAGATTTCCAAAGCTGACCCCAGCTGTCAGTCTCACCTCCAACTCTACCACTGTTCGGCACCTCGCTTTTCCTAGTCTTCCCAGAGCGCACACGCTAGTTTTCTCAGAGACAAGTGCTTCTGTGGCTCTCCATCAGCTTGCATGCTATTTCATGGAGCAGTAGGGTGAGTGACAGCTTTAGGGGGCACTTGTATGTTGCAAAGTGTCCCAGAGGCTGCAGGGGGGTGACAGGTGGGCAGGGAGAGCCCTCGCCAGGAGCCTGGCCAAGTTGCCTGGGGCGAACCTGCCAATTTCAAGGGAAGAGCAAGTACAGGTGCCCAACGTAAACTGCACTCTAGACTCAGCAGCTTGGAAAAACTGACCCTCCACGTGTGCGGCCTGCAGACTT